CAAATCAATCCCAGAACAACAGCAAAGGACTTTGTGAAGATGCTGGAGGAAACAGGTACAAAAGTATCTATATCCACAGTAAAACGAGTTCTATATCGACATAACCTGAAAGACCGCTCAGCAAGGAAGAAGCCACTGCTCCAAAACCGCCATAAAAAAGCCAGACTACGGTTTGCAACTGCACATGGGGACAAAGATCGTACTTTTTGGAGAAATGTCCTCTGGTCTGATGAAACAAAAATATAACTGTTTGGCCATAATGACCATCGTTATGTTTGGAGGAAAAAGGGGGTAGCTTGCAAGCCGAAGAACACCATCCCAAACGTGAAGCACGGGGGTGGCAGCATCATGCTGTGGGGGTGCTTTGCTGCAGGAGGGACTGGTTGCACTTCACAAAATAGATGGCATCACGAGGAAGGAAAATTATGTGGATATATTGAAGCAACATCTCAAGACATCAGTCAGGAAGTTAAAGCTTGGTCGCAAATGGGTCTTCCAAATGGACAATGACCCCAAGCATACTTCCAAAGTTGTGGCAAAATGGCTTAAGGACAACAAAGTCAAGGTATTGGAGTGGCCATCACAAAACCCTGACCTCATTCCTATAGAAAAGTTGTGGGTGAACTGAAAAAGCATGTGCGAGCAAGGAGGACTACAAACCTGACTACGTTACACCAGCTCTGTCAGGAGGAATGGGCCAAAATTCAACCAACTTATTGTGGGAAGCTTGTGGAAGGCTACCCGAAACGTTTGACCCAATTTAAAGGCAATGTTACCAAATACTAATTGAGTGTATGTACACATCTGACCCACTAGGAATGTGATGAAATAAATCAATGCTGAAATAAATCATTCTCTCTAACTATTATTCTGACATTTCACATTCTTAAAATAAAGTGGTGATCCTAACTGACCAAAGACAGGGAATCTTTACTACGATTAAATGTCAGGAATTGTGAAAAAATGAGTTTAAATGTATTTGGCTAAGGTGTATGTAAACTTCCGACCAACTGTGTATATATGTGTATATATATACAGTGGGGGAAAAAAAGTATTTAGTCAGCCACCAATTGTGCAAGTTCTCCCACTTAAAAAGATGAGAGAGGCCTGTAATTTTCATCATAGGTACACGTCAACTATGACAGACATATTGAGATTTTTTTCTCTCCAGAAAATCACATTGTAGGATTTTTATGAATTTATTTGCAAATTATGGTGGAAAATAAGTATTTGGTCACCTACAAACAAGCAAGATTTCTGGCTCTCACAAACCTGTAACTTCTTCTTTAAGAGGTTCCTCTGTCCTCCACTTGTTACCTGTATTAATGGCACCTGTTTGAACTTGTTATCAGTATAAAAGACACCTGTCCACAACCTCAAACAGTCACACTCCAAACTCCACTATGGCCAAGACCAAAGAGCTGTCAAAAGACACCAGAAACAAAATTGTAGACCTGCACCAGGCTGGGAAGACTGAATCTGCAATAGGTAAGCAGCTTGGTTTGAAGAAATCAACTGTGGGAGCAATTATTAGGAAATGGAAGACATACAAGACCACTGATAATCTCCCTCGATCTGGGGCTCCACGCAAGATCTCACCCCGTGGGGTCAAAATGATCACAAGAACGGTGAGCAAAAATCCCAGAACCACACGGGGGGACCTAGTGAATGACCTGCAGAGAGCTGGGACCAAAGTAACAAAGCCTACCATCAGTAACACACTACGCCGCCAGGGACTCAAATCCTGCAGTGAAAGACGTGTCCTCCTGCTTAAGCCAGTACATGTCCAGGCCTGTCTGAAGTTTGCTAGAGTGCATTTGGATGATCCAGAAGAGGATTGGGAGAATGTCATATGGTCAGATGAAACCAAAATATAACTTTTTGGTAAAAACTCAACTCGTCGTGTTTGGAGGACAAAGAATGCTGAGTTGCATCCAAAGAACACCATACCTGCTGTGAAACATGGGGGTGGAAACCTCATGCTTTGGGGCTGTTTTTCTGCAAAGGGACCAGGACGACTGATCCGTGTAAAGGAAAGAATGAATGGGGCCATGTATCGTGAGATTTTGAGTGAAAACCTCCTTCCATCAGCAAGGGCATTGAAGATGAAACGTGGCTGGGTCTTTCAGCATGACAATGATCCCAAACACACCGCCCGGGCAACGAAGGAGTGGCTTCATAAGAAGCATTTCAAGGTCCTGGAGTGGCCTAGCCAGTCTCCAGATCTCAACCCCATAGAAAATCTTTGGAGGGAGTTGAAAGTCCGTGTTGCCCAGCGACAGCCCCAAAACATCACTGCTCTAGAGGAGATATGCATGAAGGAATGGGCCAAAATACCAGCAACAGTGTGTGAAAACCTTGTGAAGACTTACAGAAAACGTTTGACCTGTGTCATTGCCAACAAAGGGTATATAACAAAGTATTGAGAAACTTTTGTTATTGACCAAATACTTATTTTCCACCATAATTTGCAAATAAATTCATAAAACATCCTACAATGTGATTTTCTGGAAAAAAAATTCTCATTTTGTCTGTCATAGTTGACGTGTACCTATGATGAAAATTACAGGCCTCTCATCTTTTTAAGTGGGAGAACTTGCACAATTGATGGCTGACTAAATACTTTTTTTCCCCACTGTAATAATAATATGCCATTTAGCAGACGCTTTTATCCAAAGCGACTTACAGTCATGCGTGCATAAATTTTTGTGTATGGGTGGTCCCGGGGATCGAACCCACTACCTTGGTGTTACAAGCGCCGTGCTCTACCAGCTGAGCTACAGAGGACCTGTGTGTGTGTGTGTGTATATATATATATATATACTGCTCAAAAAAATAAAGGGAACACTAAAATAACATCCTAGATCTGAATGAATGAAATAATCTTATTAAATACTTTTTTCTTTACATAGTTGAATGTGCTGACAACAAAATCACACAAAAAGTATCAATGGAAATCAAATGTGTCAAGCCATGGAGGTCTGGATTTGGAGTCACCCTCAAAATTAAAGTGGAAACCACACTACAGGCTGATCCAACTTTGATGTAATGTTCTTAAAACAAGTCAAAATGAGGCTCAGTAGTGTGTGTGGCCTCCACGTGCCTGTATGACCTCCCTACAACGCCTGGGCATGCTCCTGATGAGGTGGTGGATGGTCTCCTGAGGGATCTCCTCCCAGACCTGGACTAAAGCATCCGCCAACTCCTGGACAGTCTGTGGTGCAACGTGCCGTTGGTGGATGGAGCGAGACACGATGTCCCAGATGTGCTCAATTGGATTCAGGTCTGGGGAACGGGCGGGCCAGTCCATAGCATCAATTCCTTCCTCTTGCAGGAACTGCTGACACACTCCAGCCACATGAGGTCTAGCATTGTCTTGCATTAGGAGGAACCCAGGGCCAACATATGGTCTCACAAGGGGTCTGAGGATCTCATCTCGGTACCTAATGGCAGTCAGGCTACCTCTGGCGAGCACATGGAGGGCTGTGCGGCCCCCCCAAAGAAATGCCACCCCACACCATGACTGACCCACCGCCAAACCGGTCATGCTGGAGGATCTTGCAGGCAGCAGAACGTTCTCCACGGCGTCTCCAGACTCTGTCACGTCTGTCACGTGCTCAGTGTGAACCTGCTTAAATCTATGAAGAGCACAGGGCGCCAGTGGCGAATTTGCCAATCTTGGTGTTCTCTGGCAAATGCCAAACGTCCTGCACGGTGTTGGGCTGTAAGCACAACCCCCACCTGTGGACGTCGGGCCCTCATACCACCCTCATGGAGTCTGTTTCTGACTGTTTGAGCAGACACATGCACATTTGTGGCCTGCTGGAGGTCATTTTGCAGGGCTCTGGCAGTGCTCCTCCTGCTCCTCCTTGCACAAAGGCGGAGGTAGCAGTCCTGCTGCTGGGTTGTTGCCCTCCTACGGCCTCCTCCACATCTCCTGGTGTACTGGCCTGTCTCCTGGTAGCACCTCCATGCTCTGGACACTACGCTGACAGACACAGCAAACCTTCTTGCCACAGCTCACATTGATGTGCCATCCTGGATGAGCTGCACTACCTGAGCTACTTGTGTGGGTTGTAGACTCCGTCTCATGCTTCCACTAGAGTGAAATCACCGCCAGCATTCAAAAGTGACCAAAACATCAGCCAGGAAGCATAGGAACTGAGAAGTGGTCTGTGGTCACCACCTGCAAAACCAGTCCTTTATTGGGGGTGTCTTGCTAATTTGCCTATATTTTCCACCTGTTGTCTATTCCATTTGCACAACAGCATGTGAAATTTATTGTCAATCAGTGTTGCCTCCTAAGTGGACAGTTTGATTTCACAGAAGTGTGATTGACTTGGAGTTACACTGTGTTGTTTAAGTGTTCCCTTTATTTTTTTGAGCAGTGTATATACATACGTGTAAGCAAGGTTTGAAATTGTTTTAGTCAAATGTTATCTGTTTGGGCTTCTTGCGGTCAATTTGCAGTCTAAACATTTTTTGTAATTATGTGAGGCCGGTTGGACGTACTGCCAAATTTTCTAAAACGACGATGGTAGAGAAATTAACATTCAATTATCTGCCAACAGCTCTGGTGGATATTCCTACAGTCAGCATGCCAATTGCACGCTCCCTCAAAACTTGAGACATCTGTGGCATTAATGTGACAAAACTGCACGTGAGTGGTCTTTTATTGTCCCCAGCACTAGGTGCACCTGTGTAATGATCGTGCTGTTTAATCAGCTTTTTGATATGCCACACCTGTCAGGTGGATGGATTATCTTGGCAAAGGAGAAATGCTCACTAACAGGGATGTAAACAAATTTGTGCACAAAATCTGAGATAAATAAGCTTTTTGTGTATATGGAACATTTCTGGGATCTTTAATTTCAGCTCATGAGACCAACACTTTACATGTTGCGTTTAAATTTTAATTGAGTATAGTTGATGATTCCATAGGCTTACTGTTAAAATACACGACGAGGTAATTCAGGGGTACTCCAAGAAGAGCAAAATACAGTTGGTGGTACAGTAACCAAAAGCGGTTGGGAACCACTTTCTTAAAGTATACAGCACATATTCAGTAAAACAGACAACAGATCATACCAAATGTCTCATATCTGACATGGTTAGGTTTATTTTACACTTGTAAATTGTGAAATATATATACACACACAAAACAATAGACATTCTTTCTGTATAAAATATGTGTTGGATGGGATAGATATGGAATCAGGTCAAAGTCAGAACATGCTAAATATATCAGTCTTGAGATAAATATTTTTGTTTTTACAATTAACAATGTATACACACACAAGACATAACACTAAACGTCCATTGGTTGTTAATTGGATTTCTCTTGGGTGCAGGTCTTGCTGTGGTATCCAGATTCTGTCATTTTTTTACTCACAAAGTAGCATAAAGCAATGTAATCTGCTTGTGTTGACAAATTACTGTCAACCCAATAGAATGTAAATAATCTGGCATTATCAGTAACTACACGTTCCACAAATCAACACTGGCCTTAGCCTAATTCCACTGAATTTACTGTACCACTGCATTTTCTAGTTGATGTGCTATGCATTCAAAGCAAGCAAGTTACTTTTACAGGAGGGCTGTATGTATTTGCACCAGTCGTGTTACTCCTGAGGATTTGGTTGTGATTGCGAAGGGACCCATCCAAAACAGAAATTAGGTTCTTAAAATGTCTGCTAGTTGCATGTCACTTTTCATTTGGTGAGGTCTTTCAGGTACTGCAAGCCTTGGTTGGTGTAGTCACCTAATGCTGTAGGGCCCGATGAGAGAGCAGATATGGATGACTGCACCCCTGGAATGAAATAACAGAAGCTCTTGAAATTGCTCCATTTTAGACTTGTAAGTCTGGAAAAGTCCTTTATGAATCAGCTGTCAACCATTTCTTACCTGAGTTCCAAGCTTCGACAGGGGAGAATCCAATTTTAGGGAAAGCTGGAAGCTAGACGAAAACATACTTTTAATCCTCCCTCACCTCATACTCCATAGTGCATTATTCTGTCTGTCAGACACAGTTAAATCACAGTACGATAATGGCATATTTACCTCAAAGCCAAAGTACTTCACCCACTCATCCACTGCAGGGGGAATTGCAGCTTTAGCTTTTCCAAGGACCTCGGAGCCCTGCTCACTTTCCCCTAATAGTCCAGAATCATAGGCAACATACAAAGCACCTCCTGCAATGGTCACCTTAGAGGCCAACCTGCGAGAGAAAAAGATTGACACTAGGATGAGACAACTTTGTGGATGGCTTAGTGTCACGTATTTGATGATAGAGACAAACATGCGTTGTTACACATGGCATTCAAGTGCACAAACACATATTCACGTGTTAAAAGCACAGAAAGTAAATTCATAACATGAGAACCATCAGGTGGCATCAACGTTAGCTAGCCATCTGGTTAGCTGCTGTCAATTAGGTATATCTTAGCTAGCTAGCCGCAGTTAGTGTTGTTAGTTACATGTTACTAGCTAACTAGAAGATCGTGTGCTGTTTAGCTTACTGGCTGGATCATGACTAAAGGACATAGTTAATAAGTTCAAAGCAAAATTAAAGCTAACTAGCTAAATGTCAACCTGCTTGCCAGATAGCATTAGCATAGCTAGCTAGCGAGTTTTCTCGAAAACTTACTTTAGAACAGGCAATATCTTGGCAGCCATAGTGTCTCAGGTAAATCAACGTATTTCTTGAATTAACGTTGTGTATTTACTGGCTAGTTGCAACAGCACGCATGAAATGAATGAACTCGACAACGAAGAGTAACCGGCTACCGCGATAACTACATTGAAGGGCAACCCTGTGACACAGTTATTTTTAACGATTTTTAAACGAGAGTAGCTGATTCGCAAAAATATAAGACATCAAAATAAATATATTTAGAGACTGTCATGTTTCAAGTTATTTATATTTTACTACAAAACTTTAATATTTCTGGATTTCGTCTGGGTACAAAAACGAATAATGATTGAATATGTTCGTGCTATTTGATACTGCTGCAGCTGCTGTTAATGGGAGGAGGGGGATGAGGATATTAATGTATTTGTTTATTTGTACATTTCAGAACACAAGAAAACATGTGCATACATAAAAGTAATCAAGGCACAATAAAGTCAGAGACATATTGATGACGGTAATAATGAGGGGGATAATAATAGGCCTATCAATAATAATTATATCTGCTGTTATCATTTTATTGCACTGGTTGGTGCACCCTAATTGATTTTGCCTATCATTTAGCTGGCTGCATCCCCTCCCTATAATAGTGGATCATTTATGTTAAGTCGGTGGTCACCGTCTTTCAAAGTGTGTTGCATTACAGGGCTAAAAATTGTCCGACTTGCGCCTACATGTCTACTGCATGAACTTTACAACAACCATGTGATCAAAGGTCATGAAGTTTAGACTGCAGTCGACTTCAATTTTCTGCAGTTGCTCCTCACCAGCTCTAACTTGCAGCCATCGCCTGCATTGTGGGAGGCACTATTTGTCAACCAATCATTAGAGTGTTTTTGTTTGTCCCACACGAAGGAACCGACTTTGCCATAGGAGGGATGTGCAGGGATCATGGCCGAAGTGGATGCCAAGTCTGAATCGAGAACAGTGTCGAGTAAAGTTGAAGATGATGAATGGAAAACCGTAGTCTCACATAATGGAGCAAAAAGGAAATTGTCAAAAATTGGAATGAATGATGAGTGTAGGTCAGATAAGGATTTGTTTCTTGTTGGGATGCGTTTTTTGAATAAGGATGTGTATCTGGGAAACCCGTTTGAGGTATCGAAGAAGGTCAAATAAAATAAAATACAATTGTATTGGTCACATACGCGTGTTTAGCAGTTGTTATTGCGGGTGTAGCGAAATGCTTGTGCTTCTAGCTCCGACAGTGCAGTAATATCTAACAAGTAATATCTAACAATTTCACAACATATACCCAATACACACAAATCTAAGTAAGGAAAGAATTAAGAATGTATACATATATGGACGAGCGATGTCTGAGTGGCATGGACTAAGATACAGTAGAATAGTATAGAATACCGTATATACAGTTGAAGTCGGAAGTTTACATACACTTAGGTTGGAGTCATTAAAACTTGTTTTTCAACCACTCCACAAATTTCTTGTTAAAAAAACTATAGTTTTAGCAAGTCGGTTAGGACATCTACTTTGTGCATGACACAAGTCATTTTTCCAACAATTGTTTACAGATTATTTCACTTATAATTCACTGTATCACAATTCCAGTGGGTCAGAAGTTTACGTACACTAAGTTGACTGTGCCTTTAAACAGCTTGGTAAATTCCAGAAAATGATGTCATGGCTTTAGAAGCTTCTGATAGGCAAATTGACATCATTTGAGTCAATTGGAGGTGTACCCGTGGATGTATTTCAAGGCCTACCTTCAAACTCAGTGCCTCATTGCTTGACATCATGGGAAAATCAAAAGAAATCAGCCAAGACCTCCCCAAAAAACATGTAGACCTCCACAAGTCTGGTTCATCCTTGGGAGTATTTTCCAAACGCCTGAAGGTACCACGTTCATCTGTACAAACAATAGTACGCAAGTATAAACACCATGGGACCACGCAGCCGTCATACCGCTCAGGAAGGAGACGCGTTCTGTCTCCTAGAGATGAACGTACTTTGGTGCGAAAAGTGCAAATCAATCCCAGTACAACAGCAAAGGACCTTGTGAAGATGCTGGAGGAAACGGGTACAAAAGTATCTATATCCACAGTAAAACGAGTCCTATATCGACATAACATAAAAGGGGCTGCTCAGCAAGGAAGAAGCCACTGCTCCAAAACCGCCTTAAAAAAGACAGACTATGGTTTGCAACTGCACATGGGGACAAAGATCGTACTTTTTGGAGAAATGTCCTCTGGTCTGATGAAACAAAAATATAACTGTTTGGCCATAATGACCATCGTTATGTTTGGAGGAAAAAGGGGGTTTCTTGCAAGCCGAAGAACACCATCCCAACCATGAAGCACGGGGGTGGCAGCATCATGCTGTGGGGGTGCTTTTCTGCAGGAGGGACTGGTGCACTTCACAAAATAGATGGCATCATGAGGAAGGAAAATTATGTGAATATATTGAAGCAACATCTCAAGACATCAGTCAGGAAGTTAAAGCTTGGTCGCAAATGGGTCTTCCAAATGGACAATGACCCCAAGCATACTTCCAAAGTTGTGGCAAAATGGCTTAAGGACAACAAAGTCAAGGTATTGGAGTGGACATACAAAGCCCTGACCTCAATCCTACAGACAAGTTGTGGCCAGAACTGAAAAAGCGTGTGCGAGCAAGGAGGCCTACAAACCTGACTCAGTTACACCAGCTCTGTCAGGAGGAATGGGCCAAAATTCACCCAACTTATTGTGGGAAGCTTGTGGAAGGCTACCCGACACATTTGAACCCAAATACTAATTGAGTGTATGTAAACTTCTGACCCACTGGGAATGTGATGAAATAAATAAAAGCTGAAATAAATCACTCTACTATTATTCTGACATTTCACATTCTTAAAATAAAGTGGTGATCCTAACTGACCAAAGACAGGGAATTTTTACTAGGATTAAATGTCAGGAATTGTGAAAAACTGAGTTTAAATTTATTTGGCTAATGTGTATGTAAACTTTTGACTTCAACTGTACAGTTAGGTTATGTAAAGTATGCAGTAAGAGCATTTGTCCACAAGCGACTACAACTGTAAAGGATTTGGCCATGTTGCAAATGTTTCCAGACACAAGGAGTATATTGAAGATCGGAGTGAAGAAGGTCAGTGTTGCAACTGTGGTGGGGATCATGATCCAGAGTTCTTGGAGTGCCCTGTAAGGGTAAAGGAGGTCAAGGTGGCTGTTACGAACCCCGTGGCTTTAAAAGTCTAGGGTGAATGGAAAAGAGACCCGTAACATAACTCATGCAAATCAGAATCGTGACACGGAAACAGTGAGAACAAAAATACACCGACAACCATAAGGTACCGTCAAACACAAAATGTTTATTATGAACACATGGTCAAGGTTTGGGAAAAAGGGCTGAGCAGGACACAAGGAATTAAACAATAATGTAAAAAACCCCTAAACTGATCTTGCCTGCCTCAAGAACCGCTAAGCTACTGCTAACCATACAAAAATACAGTGGGTGGTCTGCTCAGGTCTAACTAGTGTTTTTAGACAATGTTCTTTCTACGGGTAATGTATGCCCAAGGGCAACTTGCTAAAGCCCCCTTTTCCCAGGAACACACAACATAGTTACCATAGGGAGTAACCAGCAAATGAGTGAGTACACAAAAAACAGGACACCATAGTATCCATACTCACAAACGAAAAGAGTCTCTGTCAGCAAACACAACTGACTGGCTTTTAAAACAATGGGAGGTGTGAGTGAAAAACCAGAAACAGGTGGTGCAATGCAGAGGAATGTCCACTGATTGGTCCACCTCAGCAATCAGCAGACAAACAGATGTCGGACAGGTGGGACACCCCAACGACCACCAATCAGGAACACAAAGGACACCTGTGATTAGGGCAGAAGGAGAGGAAAAACACAAAAACACATACAGGATAACTTTATCTGTAACAGTGGCAAAAGTAAGGCCGTGTCATGGGATCTACGTGGAGGCAAGCAAAATAATTCAGAAAGCAAGTGACGCTAGTGTTTATGATATGGTAGTAGATACACCCCAGCCATTAGTGAATGTTTGTCAATCAAGAGAACCGGACACGCTTTGTGTGAAAAAGGTGGATTTTGTGGCGTTTATTGCAACGGTTATTAATTGTACTACTCAAGTGTCAAAGAAATCCCCAAAATTGGACATCATTGTGACTGCGTCAGAAAAGTTTCTGTGCCTGAAAGAATTCACAGCAGAAGACCTGCAAGGGGTACTGGCAACAGAAGAAGTACCGCCCTCCCAGGCTCCTGAGCCTGTGTAGGGATCAGATTGGACTGGACTTTAACAGAAGAAGTAACGTGAATTTTGGTAAATGTTTTTTGTTTTTGGTAGTTAGTATGAATTTGTTCATCCAAAACATATTTTGTTTTGGGGGATATTTTACTACCCCGATTCATATGTATACAGTGGATATGTACAAGTAAATGTGATATTTGCGGCTCTCTCAACCCCAATTGATAGTACAATGCAGTGGAGGCTGCTGAGGGGAGGACAGCTCATAATAATGGTTGGAATGGCGTCAATGCAATCGTATCAAACGTGGTACCCCACCTCTTTAAGAAATACCTGGGATAGGATAAAGTTATCCTTCTACCCCCCCTTACCCCACCCCCCCCAACAAAAAATAAATAAAAAATAAAAAACATATTGTAAAGTGGTTATCCCACTGGCTATAAGGTGAATGCACCAATTTGTAAGTCACTCCGGATAAGAGCGTCTGCTAAATGACGTAAATGTAAAATATAAATGTGGTTTCCATGTGGTTGAAACCATTCCATTCTTTACTATGAGCCGTCCACCCCTCAGCAGCCTCCACTGGTACAATGTACACACATACATGTATATTTACAGTTTGTGAGTGTGTGATATTGGGGATGGAGACATGTTTATTTTGACATTTATAAATAAAAACTTTTATAAGCAATGGCAATGCTGCCATGTTGCACTGAGCCTTGCTGTTGGAAAACCACATCAGTGTCTGACTTTGGGCTGTAGCTGATGCAGCTCCCCTGACTTCACTCCTGGACTTTCGTCTACAGTTGTTTGCTTCTAACCGTAGCAGGTGTAAAATAAATACCTGAAACTAGATCCTCTACATACTGGTCTTAACAAGGAGGAGTTAAGATTGCGTCGCCTTGTTAACAACCAATAGTGGAAGTTGCCTGACAGGCTCTCTTTCTATTTCCCCTGAAAACCGGAACATCCAGTTTTTGGGGACTCGGCAGAGGCTAGTTGCTTCAGCCTTACCACTCAAACAAGCCCATTGAGTAGGGGTATTGCAGTTACAAGATGAAGGCTTTTACTAAACTCTTAATAGTTGGTGCTATAGGAGTAGCTTTTGTTGCTTTCCAATGGAGTGGACCCACCTTGGACCCAGGTAAGATATTTATTTAGCTTCTTCACAATCCTTGACTGGTCTATGCACCCTTTTGCTGGCTACAGGCAATTTTATGATCACATATGAATTATTATAGCCATATGAACCCATTGCCTCAGAGGGTGGTTGTCAGCACTTCAAACAGTTGTGATGCATTACAGACACATCCCACTGGTCACAGACGTCAATTCAATGTCTATTCCACATTGGTTCAACGTAGTTTCATTGAATGAAACAATGTTGATTCAACCAGTGTGTGCCCAGTGAGATTATAGACAGTTGTGACACATTATAGGCTATTGATTTATGAAATCTCAATCAGATCCTCATAAGAATTCAGTGTGACTAAAATTGCATATAAAGGCAGTATACCATCTTATTTATTTGTCAGATTAATACAAATGGAACTTGGCTTGTGTTTTTTTCAATTGTTGACACAGAAAAATACCGGCACAATTAACTTCAGAAAATAAATACAAAAACATTATGGTAGATACAATACACTGGTAGAATCAACGTTGTTTCAACATAATTTGTCAGCGTATTGTGACGTGGAATCAACGTGGAAAATACATTGTATTGAAAAATAAAGTCATCAACCAGTACTGTTTTCATCTAATTTCAACCAGCGTTATAAACATTGAAATGAAGGTAAAACTTAAACTTAAATACATTGATTTAACCTGACTAACAGGTTTTTCTATTTAATTTCAACATAATCATCAGCGCTATGTGTACATTGAAATTGCATCGAAAATTCGATTGTACAGCACTTGTGACATTGACCTTATGAGAGGAACTACTGTACTAAGATCATACAATAACCTCAAATGATCAGAGTGGAATTAATGATCCAATTCATCATGTACAACTGTTTTTCAAGTACACGTTTAAATCCAAACCAATACTGCTGGAATGTGTTTACGTTCTGTTTTGGTAGGCTAAGTGATGAGTAATGTTTGGTGCACTCCTTGGTGCACTCCTTGCACTCCGTAATAACCAATCTTATGTGAATGAATTCCCAAACACTTATTCAATGCAACTTTATTGAGCTAAGCTTTCAGGCCAGATTACCTTTGTGAGTGCAATACAGTACAATAAAATACACATACAGTAATACTGTATAGAAGTCATAGGCCTGAATATGAGTCAGAGGCAACCGTGTGGAATTGGAACCATACAGAACTACAGCCTACTATGTCATATGCATTCCACTCATAACTGGGTTAGGGTCGAACCCGTAGTGGTTGATAATCAGGCTATAGTTTCCATGCACAGTAAAAAACAGTGGAAATTGCAATCACAGCATTATACTTCTAATAATCTATCACATTTAAACTTAGGTTATCCTTATTTCTCTAGGTGTGGACATTTTCTTCCCTCTGCTATTTCTCACCATAAATTAGCTTGGGTTTGTTTCAGAACTGAAACAGCAAACTCTGGCACAATCAAACAATTAACTTCATTCATAACCCACTGGGCACAGACGTCAATTCAACGTCTATTCTACATTGGTTCAACATAATTGTATTGAAATGACGTGGGAAACAATGTTGATTCAAACAGTGTGTGCCCAGTGGGAAGTGTTTAAAGCAGTAATTATTTGTGGCCTATAATGAACATTCCCCCTGTTTCTACTCATACAGATTACACATTGTACTAAACACTGAGTCCTAGACAGGCATAAAGATCCATATCATCCGTCAGGTCTAGGATACAGCACATACTTTATAGCACATCAGATGCACATTTTCTTGACAGGCCTTACGTCGTCATTCTATCCCCTTGTCTTAGTTTTTTCCCTTTTGAATTTTATTTAGACTAACTATACTTTAAGACGTAATGAGTACTGTAATGACTTTCAATATGGCTGGTTTTCAGAGTCTTTAAAGGGTGTACGGGTCCTTGTGACTGGTGCCAGTACGGGTATAGGTGAACAAATGGCATATCACCTCGCCGGCTTTGGTGCCCAGGTGGTTATTACAGCCAGGAGGGAGAAGGTTCTACAGCAGGTCAGTGACACTTCAATCAGGTGTTTACATCAATGTCGCTAGGCAATAGTTGTCTATGACAATACCTTAATGTTTTTCATAATTATGTTACTCTTATGCGAACATCACTCTCTTGTATTGCAGGTAGTAGAGAAGTGCCAGGGTTTGGGGGCCCAGAAAGCTCTGTACGTAGCAGCAGACATGGCTAATCCTTCTGACCCAGAGAGAGTGGTGCAGTTTGCTGTGGACAAGTTGGGAGGACTGGACTACCTGGTGCTGAACCACATAGGTTCCAGCCCATTCGCCATGTGGGACGGAGATGTGGAGCACACTAGATGGTTAATGCAGGTGGGGTATCCATCTCGACTACTGTGTTTCATGTGACCCAGTAGGATGACATGTACATGTAGCCTACCATTATATGTACAGTACCACTATTACTATAGTGTTACGTTTTCTCCTCTTTTACTTGCTCTTTCTCAGGTAAATTTCCTCAGCTATCTGCAGATGGCAAAGACTGCTCTGCCCACCCTTGAGCAGAGTAGCGGTTCCATTGTGGTGGTCTCCTCCCTCTTAGGTGAGTCAGCGCTCTTCTCTACACAAAGCTTTCCAAGTGACTCTGAACCTATGATTGGCTATTGTTTTGGTCCCACAGGTAAAATGTGCAGTCCGTTTATGGCCCCCTACACGTCCACTAAGTTTGCCCTGAATGGTTTCTTTGGGACGCTGCAGCATGAGCTGGCCATGCAGAGGAGCAACGTGTCCGTTACCATCACCATCCTGGCCCTGATCGATACGGACTCGGCTATGGAGAAAGTCAAGTGAGATATTGTTGATATCAACTTCAGTCAAGTTGCAACCCTACAAAGTGTTTTATGATTGTCTTGATAGTTGTTACAGCACCTTTATCCAAAGATAATGAAAGGATGCTGAGTCATCACTGTTTGTATTATAGGGGGTTCACCAACATCCCAGCCTGGCCGGCCAGTGAGGCAGCGCTTCACATCATTACTTCTGGAGCCACTCGACAGACAGAGTCTTACTACCCCTGGTTCTGGTACTATGGCTCTCTCATCAGAGACTGGTTCCCCTACTTCAGGGACATTTCTATACGTAACTTTTATAAATATTAACCATATGCTTGAAATATATAGTTTTAGAACACCTACTCATTCAAGGGTTGTTCTTAATTTGTATTATTTTCTACATTGTAGAATAATAGTGAAGACATCAAAACTATGAAATAACACATATGGAATCATGTAGTAACCAAAAAAGTGTTAAACAAATCAACATATATTTTATATTTGAGATTCTTCAAATAGCCACCCTTTGCCTTGATGACAGCTTTGCACACTCTTGGCATTCTTTCAACCAGCTTCATCTGGAATGCTTTTCCAACAGTCTTGAAGGAGTTCCCACATATGCTGAGCTTTTCTTTCACTCTGCGGTCCGACTCATCCCAAACCATCTCAATTTGGTTGAGGTCAGGGGATTGTGGAGGCCAGGTCATCTGATGCAGCACTCCATCACTCTCCTTCTTGGTAAAATAGCCCTTACACAGCCTGGAGGTGTGTTGGGTCATTGTCCTGTTGAAAAACAAATGATAGTCCCACTAAGCCAAAACCAGATGTGATGGCGTATTGCTGCAGAATGCTGTGGTAGCCATGCTGATTAAGAGTGCCTTGAATTCTAAGTAAATCACAGACAGTGTCACCAGCAAAGCACCCCCACACCATAACACCTCCTCCTCCATGCTTTACGGTGGGAAATACACATGCGGAGATCATCCGTTCACCCATACCGCGTCTCACAAAGACACGGCGGTTGGAACCAAAAATCTCACATTTGGACTCCAGACCAAAGGACACGTTTCCACTGGTGTAATGTCCATTGCTTGTGTTTCTTGTCCCAAGCAAGTCTCATCTTATTATTGGTGTCCTTTAGTAGTGGTTTCTTTGCAGCAATTCGACCATGAAGGCCTGATTCACACAGTCTCCTCTTAACAGTTGATGTTGAGATGTGTCTGTTACTTGAACTCTGTGAAGCATTTATTTGGGCTGCAATTTCTGAGGCTGTTAACTCTAATGAACTTATCCTCTGCAACAGAGGTAACTCTGGGTCTTCCATTCCTGTGGCGGTCCTCATGAGAGCCAGTTTCATCATAGCGCTTGATGGTTTTTGCGACTGCACTTGAAGAAACGTTCAAAGTTCTTGAAATGTTCCGTATTGACTGACCTTCATGTCTTAAAGTAATGATGGGCTGTCGTTTCTCTGCTTATTTGAGCTGTTCTTGCCATAATATGGACTTAGTCTTTTACCAAATAGGGCTATCTTCTGTATAGCCCCCTTACCTTGTCACAACACAACTGATTGGCTCAAATGCATTAAGAAGGAAATAAATTCCACAAATTAACTTTTAAGAAGGCACACCTGTTAACTGAAATGCATTCCAGGTGACTACCTCATGAAGCTGGTTGAGAGATTGCCAAGAGTGTGCAAAGCTGTCATCAAGGCAAAGGGTGGCTATTTGAAGAATCCCAAATATATTTTGATTTGTTTAACACTTTTTTGGTTACTACATGATTCCATATGTGTTATTTCATAGTTTTGATGTCTTCACTATTATTCTACAATGTAGAAAATAATAAAAATAAAGAAAAACCCTTGAATGAGTAGGTGTTCTAAAACTTTTGACCGGTAGTGTATGTTATGATGATATTGCCTTTACATAAAGTGCGTTCGGAAAGCATTCAGACCCCTTGACTTTTTGTTTGGGGTCCACCTGTGGAAAATTCAATTGATTGGACATGATTTGGAAAGGCTCACACCTGTCTATATAAGGTCCCACAGTTGACAGTGTAGGTTAGAGTTATGGGAAGAAACCGTTCAGGCTACCTTTTTTATTGCTTCAATGAACAATCCCCATGTTGCCCACTCGAGGGCAGTAGTTCCCAATAATGGAAGCAGAACCTAGACATATGAGGCATTTTAGATTCCAGCAGGCTCCTATTTAGTCTGGCAAGATTTTACCTTCCCATAACTCCCCTACCTTGATATACCCACAATGGAATGAAAGTACTGTAGTGTACTGTAAAGGTCATAAATCCATATTGCAGTATTGTTTCATCCTTATTTTAATGCTCGCTTTCCCAGAAATGTATGAGAAGGCTGTACTCTAGTGTACTCTTGGAGTTTCACTTACTTTTTTAGTCTTTAGTATATTTTAATTGTAAATCATAACGAACACCCCCCACCACTACCACCCACTTTCCAACTACTACCTCAGCACTCCATGTCGTAACTTGTCACAGTAGGCTGTGTGGCATCCTGCCGGGAGGAGGAGGTCCCTGTTTTGTCCTGATGTCATTGTTCGTCATCCCAGCAGACCTGCAGGCCTCCTACCAACTCAGGGTAATCCATCTAGGTGGTCCACTCTATTTAAATACAGTACCTCAGGCAGTATCCCTACAAGAGACTAGGGAGCTCCATATAACCTTGAGGTTTTGAAGTGAAGGTTAAAACATGGTGGGGTTGGTAGATTACATGATAATGATGTACTATTTCCCTGTGTCAAGGAGGTGGTTCAGTGAACCTTGCATGAGACCTGTAGTCTTGCGTTAGCTCCCCGGGCTAATGCTTAGGCTTTATCTCATCTGGCTAACACAGTAATGTGGCATGCAGCAGCCCTAGGGTTCCAAACCCAGTCTGTCCAACCTGTCTATGATATTCCTTTGATTTGGCTGACTGATTGGAAGTGATCACTTCTGTCCTAACCTTTTTTTTACCACATCTTAAATCAGTATTGTATTGAAACAGATTTGTCCACTTAGAAATAAAATCATTCTCCGAGGTTCCATTTGATACTGTGAGAAGATTACATGGTCCTTCTACTGAATGTTAAACTTAACAGAATCACACACACACACACACACACACACACACACACACACACACACACACACACACACACACACACACACACACACACACACACACACACACAGAGCCAGTAACACCTGAAACAAATTAGTGCTCCTAATGCTTAGTAATAAATCCCCTCACTCTCCTCTAGCATCTCCACCAAGCATGGAGCCCAAGCACTGGGACACACACACACACACACACACACACACACACACACACACACACACACACACACACCATAGACACACACCATAGACACACACTGAAGACACAACATGTCCAGCCCAGTTCTCACATGTGATCCTACCATGATGTGTTGTTAGAGACTACAGTAGTGCGAGCAATGTTATTAATTGTGTACCTTAGAAACCTTCCCTATGGTTTCAATATAGACTAGGCCAAGATCAAACAGATTCATCATGGCTGCCCGAGAACAGTCAATGTCAAGACTAAAGCTGACGCCCACTGCTTCATTACTGACTACATAAAAGGATAAATAACTTCAGAGGTGCCATTTTACTACAGTACATCATACACCCAACTACATCATAGATTACACAGCTTCAGTTGAATAGATCACCAGGTGTTCTCAAGTCACTAGTAATCTGCTGAAATAAGGCTAATGGATACTACCAGCACTCTCCCTTTAATCTACCTATTAATCACCTAATATGTTTTTCATGGCAAGGGACTGCATAACACATTCCAATTTGATGCATGCATTACTATCAATAACATGTAGGTGCTCTGGGCTCACTCTTGATTTGTATCCTGGCTGTGATGTCATAGAAAGTCCATATTTGTGTAGAGAACTCACAACCTCTTAGTTCATGGCATTCCAATCTTCCTGCTGCGCTGCCATGTCTGTGTCAATGACTGATTTCACCTGTGTTGCTACACTTTGCACTTCAAAGTAAATCTCAGCTCTGTTAAAAGTACACTCAAGAAAAACTAGCCTATTTTATTTATCATAGTGATTAAGGAGTAACATTAAAACAGAAAACCCCAAAATAAGCAAACAAGTAAATCATATCAATGATGAGAGAATAGTCAGATTAACTGATAACTGACACAGACATGGTGGAGTAGCAGGACGGTTGGAATGCCGTGAACCAAGAGGTTGTGAGTTCAAATCCCAGGTGAGGACATGTTGAATAATAATTACTATGTACATGTCAATGTGTGTCAAATATGTAAATTGAAAACATTGTATGTTAAACCACTGTATTTCAAGACATGGCATATTTCAAGACATAGCATATGAGGGTGCAATGAGATACCCGATGAGTTGGATGATACTTTTCTCGTCAATCATCTTGAAAAAACTTATATACTTAAAAACGGGAAATTAACCAATCCTCCCTCGTTAACACAATGGACAGGTCAAACGCTTTATTATTTAAATGTTGAAAGTGCGTGGGCGATGGAGAGAAACAAAATGGTGCAGTTTGAGGCCATGTGGCGGCGAGTGATGCAGCTGCTGGAGAAGGGGGTGTGAGCAGGTGGGTCTGGGCATGGGGGATATTGTGGATGTTTGTGTGCATCTGTTTGTGTTGTTAATTTTAAAAAATATATACATGTATTTTTTTTACAATTATTTATTTTTGCCTACATTTTCTCATGTTGGAGCTAAGTTTGGGCCAACTAAACGTTCTAAGTTCAGGTAACACTTTGAATGAAAAGTTGAGTAAACCAAAAAAAGGCTCTGGAACCAGTTACTTAATAATAATTAGTTCAATCAATTAGTTTTCTTTTACAATCATCATTGAGGAAATCTTTCTAATCTGTAGATGTACATCAGAGAACGTGTGTCACGCCCTGGCTCTGGGGACTCTAGTATGATGAGCCAGGGTGTGAGTTTTCATGTGTGTTGGTTCTAGTTGTTGTATATCTATGTTGGCCAGGGTGGCTCCCAATCGGAGACGGCTGTAGCTCGTTGTCTCTGATTGGGAGTCATACTTAGGTAGCCGTTAGGCATTCATTCATTGTGGTTTCTTGTTCCGTGTTGGTTCGTGTATGTAACCAGGGACGTCACGTTTTCGTTTTGTTGTTTTGTTCGTGTGATCATTATATAAATAAATATGTTCGCATTCAACGCTGCGCCTTGGTCCTCCTCTCTCACCGACGATCGTGACAGAAGAAACCACCAAGACTG